GTGAACGAAATGTAATGAGTTGCGATCCGAAGGAAAGAGCGAGTGCCTGCATATCAAATGTTTGTGACAGTAAGGGGATTCAGTGTCAACTTCAAAAACGTCAGTCTGTATTTAATGTAGATAAAGGTGATGCGATAATTAATAGAAGCATAAAAAATGTAAAAATAGGTAATTTCGTGACGAACTGTTTAATTGATACGGGTTCTAAATTAAATATTCTAATTTAAATATTGGATATACACCTGTCAGAATGTTGCTTACCGGGTTGGGTTGTTCACAAGTATTTTCAATCGGTAAATTCGACACGGAATTAATTATCGACGATCACCATTACAATATTAATTTTTATATTGTACCAACTAATGTAATGCCACATGATGTAATATTAGGTCAACCATTCTTAGTAAATACTGTTACGGTTATAGACAAAGGTGCCGTTGAAATTAGGCCTCCATGTTACGATAGTTTATATCAAAATGCTATATGTCTTTTTTCCAGTAATGATGACCAATGTAGTGCGGTAAAAGATATTATAAATGATTACGTACCTTTGAAGACCAAAGATGCACCCATTAGGCTGAAAATTGTTCTAAAAGATGATATTCCAGTTACACAACGGCCTAGAAGATTAGCTTTAACCGAAGAACTATTAGTGAAGCAGCAAGTTGATGATTGGTTGAAGATAGGCATCATTCGTCCTAGTTATTCTGAGTATGCAAGTCCCTTAGTATTGACAAAGAAAAAAGATGGCAGTGTACGAGTTTGCGTAGATTATCGAAAGATAAATCAGAAAATGGTGAAAGACGAACATCCATTACCTGTAATCGACGACCGTGTATAGCACACTCGATTTAAAAAATGCCTTTTTCCACTTACCAATTGTAGAAGAGTCGGTGAAGTATACATCATTTGTAACGAGTAACCCTTAAGGCCAGTATGAATTTTTAAGAGCACCGTTTGGTCTTTCTATCTGTCCTAAATACTTTACAAGATACATTAACATCATATTTGCGGATTTTATAAGAACGGGAGTGGTTTTGATATTTATTGACGATATAATTATACTTTCAAAAGATGAAAAAGAGGGAGTTGAACGACTTAAAGCTTTGCTGAAGGTGGCAGCGGAGTATGGGCTCGAAATAAATTGGAAGAAGTCACAAATACTACAAAGATCTGTTGAATTCTTAGGCTACAATATTTCCAATGGAACGATAAGACCATCTAGTGAGAAAACAAAGGCTGTTATGACCTTTCCAGTGCCTAAAAATTTGAAAGAACTGCACAGCTTCATAGGATTAACTTCGTACTTCAGGTAGTTTATTCAAAATTATGCTTTAATAGCGAAACCATTAAGTGATTTATTGAAAAAAGGTGAGTTTAAGTTTGAGGATGTTCAAAGACAAGCTTTTGACGAATTAAAGTCAAAATTATGTTGTGAACCAGTGTTGAAAATATTTGATGTTCATTTGGAAACTGAATTACATACAGATGCTTCATTGCATGGATATGCAGCTATTTTAATGCAACGAGACCCTAATGATGGTTGTCACCATCCTGTTCACTACATGAGCAGAAAGACTACAGAAGTTCAACAAAAGTGTTGCAGTTACGAGTTAGAAGCTTTAGCTGTTATTGAAGCCGTGAAGAAATTCAGAAGATATCTTATAGGAATACCCTTTAAAATTGTCACTGATTGTGAAGCCTTTCAAAAAACCTTGAACAAAAAGGATGCATCTGCAAAAGTAGCACGATGGATACTATACTTACAGGATTTTCAGTATTCTATAGAACATAGAACAGGAGACAAGATGCAACATGTTGACGCATTGAGCAGAAACATTTGTTTTGTTGATGTTGAGTTACATGCGAGAATAAAGAAGGCACAAGAAGAAGATGAAGGGTTAAAGATTATCAGAAAACTATTAGAAAAGAATGGATATGAAGATTATTTTTTAGAGAATGATGTTATCTATAAAGGACCGGAGAAGAAATTGGTATTACCTGATATGATGTATATGGAATTGATTAAAAAAGCCCATGGAATTGGACATTTCGGGAAGAAGAAGATTAAGGATATATAATAGAAAAAGATTATTACATTACAAAACTAGACAGTAAAATCGATAAGATTGTTTCTACCTGTGTACCCTGTTTATTAGCGAGTAGAAAGTCTGGTAAGAAAGAAGGATTTTTAAATCCAATTGATAAAGGAGAATTACCACTGGATACTTTACATTGTGATCATTTAGGGCCATTAGATGCAACAAAGAAAATGTATAACTACATACTTACTGTAATTGATGGATATACAAAGTTCGTCTGGATTTATCCTGTTAAGACTGTGACAGCAAAGGAAACCGTAGAAAAGTTAAAGTAGCACCAGAAAGATTATGGTAACCCACGGAGAATCATTGCTGACCGAGGAGTAGCTTTTACAGGGAATGAATTTAAAGAGTACTGTCAAGAGGAAGGCATTAAACATATCACTATTGCCACTGGAATACCACGCGGAAATGGTCAAGTTGAAAGGGTGAACAGAGTTATTATTTCTACTTTAACAAAGATGTGTATAGAAGAACCAGGCCATTGGTATAAGCATGTGAGTAAGCTTCAAAGAGTCATTAATAGCACATATCAACGATCAATTAACACAACACCTTTTGAATTGTTAACGGGAGTGAAACTTAAGCTGAAAGAAGATTTATCTATTATGGAATACTTAGAAGAGGAAAGCAGAATCGAATTTATGAGTAGAAGAGATGAAACAAGAAGAGAGGCTAAGGCACAAATATTAAAGATCCAGGAAGAGAATAGAAAAACATATAACAAAAGACGTAAAGAAGGAGAGAAGTACAAGCAAGGTGATCTAGTTGCTATAAAACGTGTACAGTTTGGAACTGCGTTAAAATTAAAACCAAAATTCTACGAACCATATCGAATTACAAAGGAGTTGGGAAGGGGTAGGTATGAGGTAGAGAAAATAGGCAGAGGTAAAGAAGGGCCGATAAGAACTGCATCAGCTTCAGATTATATGAAGCGATGGCCTTGATACAAATTGTTTTTTTGACTGATTAAGTAATTGTTTTTGTAATTTTGTATTTTTTAAACATCTACTAAAACTGCCTAAACTACCTGTGGTTGTAAAGGAATAAGCTAATTAGTGTTGTTATTTTTTTTGTTGTATGTTTAAACACTTATGTCTATGAAGAAGGAAAAAAAATGTTTAAGTACTTAGTATAACTGTGGTAAAGTAGCTTCAGTCTGAGGCCAGACTGATTTGCAGAATGGCCGAGTTGTAGGATTAATTATTTAATAGTTGAGTAAAAGATGATTTTTGAACGAAGTATTGTGTGAATGAGAAGGATGGATGACGTAAAAGGGATTGAGGGACTTTTCGCAACGACGCCACGACCGAGTAACGTGTATCTGTGTCTTAAAATGTATTAATTTAAATAAAGTGAAAATAGTAACAATATACTCAAAATAAAGATTTTATTTATCCTACGCCCACATATATATATATATATATATATATATATATATATATATATACATTTATATATATATATATATATATATATATATATATATATATATATATATATATATATATACATATATATATATATATATACATATATATATATATATATATATATAGCATTGCATACATATAATAAAATAATTATTATTAATGTACATATACGACAAACAGACTCAATCAAAAGACTCTTTTGGTGAGTATTTCCTCTAACTTCTATTTAAACAATAGCATCATCATGTTTAACTAGTATCCTACTTATTAAAGGCTGGCACAATACGTTAATTTCAGTATATATTTTGATGAAATTTAATAGCATCAACCCTATGTATGTTCGACTGCAGAGCACGAATCTCCCCTGTTAATTATCTCCCTAATCTTATGTATAAAATAAAATGTTTATTGTAATTTCATGTTCATTTTTAGGCAGTTAAGCAACCAAAAAAGTCCAAAAGTTATGCAGACAAGTGAAGTTACAGCAAAGGAAAATAAAGATACTCAGTCAGAAGTGCCGCAAACTGAAGCAGAAGGTGTTGACTTTCCAAACGATTATTGACGATTTGAAGAAACATAATTTAGTTCAATTAGTTAATTAATTTAGTCAATTACTTAATTTAGTTTCATGGAAAAAAACACTCAGAAAATATATCAAAGCGCAACATTTTAACAAAATTAATATTATTCCGCCATGATTTTAATCAATATACTAATTGTTTTTTTTAATTTTATTTAACTATTTATGACAATAACCTATTTTATGTTATAATGCTGATAGCAAATACTGCTTTTAGTTTACATTGCCCTTACATTATGATAACATTATTTTTTTTTTAGTTTTTACCTCCTACCCTTCAACTAGTGGTGACAAATGAGAATTAATAGAAAGGTGTGCAAAGTTAATAACATTTTTGCGTATCATCGATATCAATATGGGTATTAATATATCGATATCAATATGGGTATTAATATATCGATATCAATATGGACTTAAAAACAACAACACTATTTGCTGTGGGCGGAGTCGACGCCATTTTAGGGAAACATTTGGCTTCAGCACACGTGACCTAACGTGACATCCTCTTATATTCTTTTATCAATGGCCATCGCTTAGCTTTTGCCTTTTACTTTGACAGCTGACAATGACAGTCAATGTCATGATTCGTACAAAGTACACACGAAATATTTCGTGAAATTCGCATGTTTTGTGTTTGATACTCCATAAAATCCGTATTGTTTTAATATTACATATGTAAAGACAACGGATTTATATCATATACCTTATGCTTTTTTACATTAGAGAAAATGACAAAAGCTATAATTTGCGCTTTATTATTTTTATATGTATGGTATGTAGACTTATTTGAAGAACAGTGCTAACTTTAAAAAAGCGACCTCATTTCAAAATGTACATAAAATAGGTCGATTTTAAAGTCAATATAATAAAATCTGATGTTTCAGTATGCCAGAAGTACAACCTAAGGACTTAGATAATGAGCAAGAATGGGACTTATTAATTTTTACCCAAAGCTGGCCAGCAACTGTGTGTATGGAATGGGAGAAACAAGATCCCGCACACACCTGCAATCTACCAACAGGCCACGATTTTTGGACCATTCATGGCATTTGGCCAACTAAGCTGAAGACCATGGGGCCTGCATTTTGCAACAGAACTTGGCATTTTGATCCGGAAGAAGTCCGGCCTATAGAAAACAAATTAGAACAACTGTGGACTAATGTAGAGACAGGTAATATCTTTTAAAAGTTTTTGCTCTTGTTTTTATAACAGCTCCTGTGGGAAAGACCTGATTTGATCTCTGGAGATGTAATCTTGGGATTGAGTTACAGTATCTATAAGTCCTAAAAGCACTAGTCCCTAGCAGAAATCAAACTACCAATTCCATACACAGTTAATTATGATTGCCCCAACTGAGTCATATAATATTATTTACTATTTATACACAAGATATACTTATTAAATATAATTGTTTTTAAAATTTATTAACATTATTTACCATTAATAAATTATTTAACCAGTTATCCCACAAAAATACTTGCAGCATGACAGTATAAATATATCTTTCAGAAATTAAAAGACAAGGATTGCTTTGTGTTGTTTTGTGTGGAATGATTTGGGTCCCATTGACCACTGTGACCAATAAATATCTATCTATCTTGCCTTCAAAATCATTTTGAAAAACTTTTCTATATGAAAAACCTATAAGAACTGCTAGTACTGCAACATGTTGCATTCTTTTACAATGGAATGGATGGTATTGTGGCTTAAGTGAATCAAAAAGTTCTTACCCACACATTACAATATTATTTTTAACTTTCCATGTTTCCAAAGCAGTCATTGGTGGATTCTGATATGTTTTATTGTGATTGGCATAAACCAATTTCCTTGTATGTTTTTGTTAAGATAACATTTTTTTCATATAATTCAGGTACTTCGACTTACTCACTTTGGGCCCATGAGTGGAACAAACATGGGACATGCGCAGCAATTCTAGAGCCGCTCAATTCCCAATTGAAGTATTTCACCATGGGCCTGAACTGGGAGAACAAGTTTTTTATGCATGACATTCTGCTTGAAGCAAACATTGTTCCCTCAAACGAAAATAAGTATGCAGTGTTAGACATCCACAATGCAATCAAAGCCAGATTAGGCGTGAACCCCGTCGTTGAATGCAGGAGAGAGGACGGGAAGAATTACTTGGTCGAAATACGGATTTGTTTCTCTAAAACGCTAGAGTTGCAAAATTGTGATGGTGTATTGAATGTAAAACCGACAATGCTGGGAAGGGAATCTGTACTGACTAACTGCAATACGTCACAGGGAGTCATCTATCTGCCCTATCAAAGCAACAAACTGTATGTGCAATTGTATAAATTGGTTATGTGGTTGCAATGGCTGACGCTGTAGTAAATGCAGTATTTATACATCCATATTATGTAGTCAATATTTATATGAAATACGACTAAACTAAGTTCCAAGAACTTATTCAGACTTTACAAAAGATGGCCATCCAGTACAGGTATGCTTGTTTGTAGTTTTTACATATCTTCCTAATAATTTTTTATTTTTTTAATATGGACACAACTCCCCTACACTTGCCACTATAGGTATATGTAGTAATTTTACTGGCAAAACCCAAATTTATTTGGTTTGTTTGTGAGTTTTATTAAATTTAATATTATTATTTTAGGAATTATCAAGTGTACATCTAGAGGCCTGCTTAGAATTTTATACATTCAACATTTTTATACACAAATGAAATTACAAATGAACTCTGAGATAAATCATGATTTACACATTATCAACATCTGTATTAGCAATTTAATATGAATTCCAAATGGGTTATGATTTATTTACTTACATATTTTTACTTTATTTCATACTTTTTTATTATATACATTTTTACCAATGTCAATCATACTATGAGCTAGATTTGAAATTTTTATATAAGCTGTGTTTTAAGGATATTTTTAATGTTTTTTTTTTAAAGACACTAAAGTCGCACTTTTTTAAAAATACAACTTAATAGAATTCAATTGTAATTTTAATTTTCATTTTACTGACAAAATTCAAATTTATTTGGCTTGTTTATGAGTTTCATTAAATTTAGGACTAACGCCCATGAAATAACAATATATAAATATAAATTATTTAAAAGGTTTTTATATACTTTATGTATTGGATAAGTAGATTTATATTTTATCAGTCATTCTTTTTTTTTAATGGTTATTTTTTTTTCTTTATTTGTTTGCATTATATATGTTGATGTAATTTTTCTTACGTTTCATGTATAATCCTTCAATATATATTTGTTTGAATTTGTAACCAACATTTTTAAGTTTATTTCACATGATATAAAATATGACATGTACAAAGTGATCATCTATGCTGCCATCATCGCATTTTGTTTTAAATGTACTAAATATTAAAAGTATATATCTGGAGGCCTGTTTAGAATTTTATACATTCAAACATGTTTATACACAAATGAAATTACGAATGAACTCAGATAAATCATGATTTACACATTTTCAGCATCTGTATTAGCAATTTAATATGAATTTAAAATGGGTCATGATTTATTTACTTATATATACTTTATGTCATAGTTTTTTATTATATACATCTTTACCGATGTCAATCATGCTAAAAGCTTGATTTGAAATCTCAATATAAGCTGGGACTTTTTTACTGTTTTTTTTAAACACACTAAAGTCGCAAAGTTTTAAAATATAACTTAATAGCATTCAACTGTACTGTTTTTTTTACTTATGAAAAAAAACCTAAAATGGTATTATATGTGGTTTCATTTTATACTTAAATAAATATTTATTCTGTCTTATCATTAACTTTTTTAGATTTCAACGAAAATCTAATTGAAATTTTATAGCAGTGACAATGTTCTTCAGTATATCTCGGCTTTTTTTTCGTAAGGGTTACATAATTACCTAATATATAAAATTTTTGTGTCACAGTTTTAGTGTTTATAGTTCTCCGAAACGGCTTGACCGATTTTGATGAAATTTTATATGCATATTCAGTAGGTATGAGAATAGATTCATGACAATTTTTTTCCTACCCTACAAAAAATTTTTATGGCAAAACGTTTGCCAGTTCAGTTAGTAAATATATAAATCGTGTAATCGCTAGGAATGGATACGTAATTACATAAGATCAAGAGTTAAGTTCAAAAGCAAATTGTAATAATTTATTTCTTTACCACCGCAGTGTAATAGCCATTGTAAAGTTCAGAACAAGCCACAATGTTGTTTAATACGGATTCCGTGGACCGTGATGCGTTTGGTGTCAGTAAGTTTGAAACACTAAATGCGTAATTAAAAAAAATCCTTAAATAAAGGCCCATTTACATGGTGCCAGTTTCTTGCCTGTTGTATACAATTAAATTGAAGCAATAAATGAGTTGCATGGTCTAAACAACAAATGGTCATAACAATTATTGCGCGCAATTTATTGCATTCAATTATTGCTCTTGCATGTTCAAGAAAATGGCATCGTGTAAATGGGCCTTGATACATGGCATAATGATTGAATGCATCCTTAATAAATATATATAACTTTTAATAGATCAGACGGCAGACAGGTGGTGTAGTGCTTGTTGCCACAGGCTGGACACAAATAAGAGACCGATAAGTTGTTGTAAATTTGAAAATCGGAAACCGTGTGCAAATGGGATTAGAATCTGCTTTCACTGCCTGAAGAGTGTATGCTAACAAAATACAAAGAAGGTCCAAAGTATTGATCATATTAGGAAATAATTAGACAAACTTTATTGACCAAAAGTTTTTCTGTGGAAATCAGAACTCGCTATTATATCATGAAACATTGATTAGTCATATAGATAAGATACAATACAATGTATGTATTTTAAGATAGATGTTGAATCCACCGGAAGTTGATTACACCATACCCAATGTGGTCTCTATTCAGAGATGTTCATTCTTGAACAGAAACCAAACTTCTATTGGCCTTTTGAAACAATTATAACAGCAGATGGAACCAGACCTGCAATATACAATGTTTTTTAATAATTATATTTCATTATGTATCAATTTAGATTGAAATTATGTGAATAAATTATTCAATTAATCATCTTCGCTTCTTTTAAATTGCATTTCAGGGTGTACTTTACTTGCAAACTTTTATTTTTGTTTGGATATCAAGAAAAAGTAGGAGTTACATACCCAGAGATTCTAAAGGTTTTTCATAGTCATCACTTGTAAAAATTTTCTTTGGAAATGTAGTCATCAGCTTAAAATTTTCTTGCTGAGCGTATTCTTGAGCATGCAATTGGAGGTACAGTCTGCAGAAAAAACAGATTCTTTTAGAAAAATTGCCATTCAACAAAATTTGGAAATGATAGAGATTCTGCGGTGGTAGGGCCAAGCAGCAGCCTCGGCTGTTGCACGAATGGGCAGGCTCGTCCGGGTAAGTACCACGACCTCACAGAAGACCGGCGTAAAGTGGAAGTATGTATAATATATAAAACAAAAATCTTAATTTGTTTATTGATCAGAATTGCTGTAAACGATTGTAGCCATTAGGGGTTTTTATTCATTTTATTATTTGAAGTCTGTTGAAAATAAACGCGTGATAAATCCGCAAACTTAGTCCCATTCGGATTGGTGGTTTGGAGCCGACTGTACCTGACGGCGGCCAGTTGTTCCTTGGCGCTGAAGGTGTGCGACAGCGATTTCCCGTCGGGCAGCCGGAGCTGGATCCGCGCCTGGTCGTACACCTTGGGGGCGGCGGGGGCCGAGGGGGCGGGGGCGGGGGCCGGAGCGGCGACGGGGGGCGGCGCCTCCTTCTGACCAGATGCGGCAAGTCTGTGGAATAGACGTTTTTTTCTTTTTAGGGTTCTGCATCCAAAGGATAAAACGGGACCCAATTAGTTGCATTCCGCTGTCTGTGTGTCCATCCGTCACCAGGCTGTATCTCATGAATTTGATTCGCAGATGATTTCTGTTGCCATTATAACAACAAATACTAAAAAACAGAGTAAATAATTTTTAATCAGTATGAGTTCATAAGCAAAGTTTAGTAATGATTCTGATTAACACTTGTACAAATTTTTGTATGCTAGTCAAGCTCTAACGGACATTGCCGCGCATTTAATTTTTTTTTTGTAATGTAGTAGGTTTATATACAAAAAAAATTTTTTTCTTTACATACTTTCGTGCCTGTTTGTCCGCTTCAATCTGCGCCCTGACCCTCTCCCTGGCCTTTTGATCCTCGATCTTTTCGCGGCGCCTTTGCTCGACCAATTTCTGCATTTCCTGCTCTTGCAGTCTCAGACGGGCATCTTGCAAGTCTTTCCCGGATTTGATCCGTAACCGCTCTCTTTCCAATGCTTCAGCCTGAAATTAAATGACATTAAGGAATAAGCCACAGAATTTTTATTACTCTCAACATGTTTGTATATAATATGTTATAGTCATAAGTAGCCGTATTGGCTCATTGCGGTCGATCGCTTTTAATTTAATATAGTCGAGCAACCTGAGTTCAAGCCCCGATTTTGGCAGCACCACTGAAATTGTTAATTGTAAGTGCTGACTTATCACATGATCAACTATGAAGAAAAACATCGTGAGGAAACCTGGTTCGAAATGATTACAAAAAATATTTTTGAATATATTATGTGAAGAAAGTCAATCCTTAGTGGGGTGCGAGGTGGGACATATATAAGTTGTTACTTAACTCCCCTTTTTTAAAGGATATTTAAACATTTCTTTCATAAAAGCAATCAATAATAAATATATTATAAAAAAATACCAATAAATATTTGAAATAATAAAGAATAAATAAAAGACCAATTCTGAACAATTCAAATATATCAGATTATTTTCAGGCAATACACATTATTGCTTCAGATGAAGATGTAAAGTGAAATATTGCCTGTTTTAACATCTGTAAATCATGTTATATAAGACAATACGTCTTTATCCATGTGGGTCTTGACACAATTAAAAGCAAACATTATTAAAATCAAACAAACATTATTAAAAGCAAACATTATTTGATAACTTTACAGATAGATTTTCAATTTTTTTTGGATATGGCATGTGTGTTTAGATATGGTTTTCCTGGTTTAATTGTAGGTATATAGATATCTTCCCTGAAAATGCTTTTTCAGGAATTTTCACATGAAAGGAAAACATTTTTATTACAAATACATAAAGTGCCATCACATAAATTTTTTAATGGACATTAACATAGCGAGAACTCAAAACTTTATGCCATGTTGCTATATAACATTATGAATTCATACAACCTCATCAAATAACATTACCAAAATGACACAATTTTACAAAAAGAAGAATTATAAACACAATATGATTTACAAATATGATTTACAATGGAAGCCTGATTTTAGCAATTGCTAACAACAAATTTTTTTCCTAATAAATGAATGAAATCTAAGCAGTAATCATACATTACCAATCACATGTCACACATTGTGAGAAAGAATAGCACATGGACACACACATTTGTACATAACTATATAAAGAGTATCAACATAATTGCATTTAAGTATATTAAGCCATGGTACAAAAGTAACAATGAAACTGAATCAATTGATATCTTTTTAATATAGGATGGTGTGGGCAATATTTCCGTAATCACGTAATATATGATGAATGATTTGGAGAATGAATGAAATGAAAAAGTTAGTTAACTTTAAAGTCAGTAGCTATAATGCAATAAATTGTAACCTTTCACATATATCTTTAAAGAATATTTAAAAATTCAAAGGTGTATGCTTCAATTAATATAAATAAAGGTATATCATTTCTAATGTTTCAGAATGCAGTAACTTCAATAATTCATCAAATTTGATAAGTCAAAAACTTTTTTTATGCTATTGATGAAAAAAAAAGAGATGAGTAGAATGTTTTCATAAAAAAAATACGAGTTGCACTCCGGGAGTGTCGACAGAAGTGAAAATCTAATTTAGTGTGTTAGACATTTTTTAGATAAATAAAATAATATAAATAAACAATTTTGATTCAAAGTTATTTAAATATCTCATGAATACCACATCAATTGTACTTTTATATCTCGTTGTGCTAATATTGCGTTGATTGGACATAGTAATATACAATTCTCTATTCAAAAAATTAATTAATGCACACACTATAGCTGCGTCTCGTAACTGTGTCGCGAGCGATTTTATCTCATCTAAAGTGTACCGCGCTAAAAGAAGTTTTCACTTAAAAAATATTTTAAAATAATGTATAATAATACGTTAATCTACCCACTCTAATATAATGAAAAATAAACTACATTGAAACTTAAAAATAGTATCGATATAATATCTTACATTGTAAAAACTTATTCCATTAATATATTACCCATTAAGTTACTGTACACAGTGCTGCACAAATATTGCAATTAGTATAGTTATGCATGTTTTTATTTTTATTCTATACTAATATAGTAAAGCTGAAGAGTTTGTTTGTTTGTTTGTTTGAACACAATAATCTCTGTTCTTAAGGAAAGTTATAGGGTATTTAACATTATGTTATGAACTACTAAACATTTTTGGAAAATTAAGTTTCAATATAATACTGTTCTAATAGTATGGGTATGAAATGATACTGATTTGAGTATTTGTTTAAAACAGTAAAAATTATGTAAAACAGAATACCTTTTCTTTTTCCTCCCTCTCCTTCCTTTTCTGCTTCATTCTCTCTTCCAGTAATGCTAACTGAGCCTTTTTCTCCTCCTCAGTCAGTGGTTTCTTCTCCTCTGTGGACTCAGAGAAACTGGCGTGTGTTGTTTTCGCCGCATGAAATTCCATTTCCTCCTGATTTTTGCATAATTTTCCACATTCATCGCATTTCAGCGACTTTGCTATTTCAGAGCTTTCTGCGGCCGGCTCTACCGAATCGGCCGGTGCAGATGATGCTGAAGGAGTTACTTCATTATTTGTGCTAGGGGCCCCTCCTAAAGCATAACCGGAACCTAAATCGGGTTCATCAGCATGTGCCAAGAGCCACTCCATAGCAGGTTCTACGCCCTTATAGTTTGTAACCGCTAACGCCTTTTCCCTAAAAACATCAACATTGTAAATACAGGTTATTTCTACGTTTAACGATGCTATATCATTATACTTACGCTCGATCCTTGGGGAAGCCCATTTCCATTAGAGTTTGTATTTCTGCCATTTTCTTTTCGGACGCTCACTTAAAATAATTGTGAATTAACAATTTAAAAATCACTTCATCACTCATCAGCTGTTGAAATTCGGTATTTTTTTATCTTTGGTCAGAGTCAGTGTTGCCAACTTTCGAAAATATTTGTTCCTAAAGTATAAGTAAAAAAAAAAAACCTTAAAACCCCCATAGTAAAAGATTATTAAAAAAAATATGTAATAAATAGCGCAAAGATTTTTGCCTTAGTTTCCATATGAGTGCAATAATACACTGAAAAATATTACAGCAAGTGTGGGTATTATAAAAAGTTTTTGGGTTTTACTTATGCGTGCACATAAACATATCATAGTTATAAACATACAAAAAATGATTATTGAATACTATGAACTTTTCGAATAAAATAAATTAACAAATAAATTTTAGGGAATTTAACTTACTAAAAAAATTGTCTCTTATGATTTTTTAGACGACTAATATTTTTACCATAACTCCAACAATAATATTCATAATGATAAACATACTTTTGGCGAGTTTTTAAAAACGTATCCTAAGCTACCGCTATTGAATGCGTTTTGAAGGACATATCTTTTCTCTACTGTCCATATTTCAACTCCGCATTTTTTACACTAGGTCAACAAATAAATATGATTCGATAGTTTGCGTTTCCCCAGGCTCCAGGGTATTTCATTGATGAAAAAAAAAATAAAGATTTTTCTTAATCAAGCAAATACCCTGCTGCACGTGCGGCGAACTGCAAGCGGTGAAGCTTACAGTTCTCTTGCAGGATAGAACCTAAATCGGTGTTGCCGGACACCGTGCAGGCTGGCAGGCAAAAACCTTCAAGATATTACATAAAGCGGCGGAAGAAAAAGTGGACTGCCAGGCAGGATAGTAAATGGGACTATTTGGCCCAGAAGTGAGTAGACTTTGTCAGTTTCAAGAGAGAACAGCGACGCTGGTGCACGATGACGACGGTATGACGCCATCCGCTCTACACCATTTCCGCGACCCTTATAGACCACACGTGTAAAGCACGATCCAAGGGCCTCTCAGATGAAGGTTTAAAGTTGGCTTGAACTGCAAAAAATAGTAGAATCTATCCAAAAGAAATAGTCCAGTCGAAATTAAATTTAATCGCAAGACATGACGGTTGAAGAAATGGTTTTATGAAAATACACTTTTTAAGATAATAATCAATTGACAAAAACAATTACATTACAAAAATAAAAAGGTCCCCGATTTATATTATATCTACTAGCAATCAACCCGCTATTAAATTTATCGCCTAACTTCTTATTTTAATCGAATTTTATTTCGTTTGGTCCAACTATAAGTACACTAGCAACCCGCCTCGGCTCCACACGGGTGCAATATCTAGTAAAAAAATCCGCATCAAGATCCGTTGCGTAGTTTTAAAGATCTAAGCATACATAGGGACAGACAGACAGCAGGACGACTTTGTTTTATACTATGTAGTGAATTAATAGGGGAATCACCATCGCCGTCATTCATTCTTATCTATGTGTCATGAATCTATGGGCAAGTAATAGTACTGAATTGAATACAAGTCACATTTTTTATCTTAACAAATTATTATTAGAATTACAGGGGAATTTTGCAAATTTATCAAGGACTGATGACAATACGATAGTTCAATAAGTTTTGTCCAATTATCCTGCCGAAGATTTTTGCGGTAGTAGGGCCACGCAGCAGCCTAGGCTGTTGCACGAATGGGCAGGCTCGTCCGGGTAAGTACCACGAACTCGACGAGGTGGCCGGAGCCCAATTTCTAAAAGGTTGTCAACGCATCTGGAAACCTCGGGTGTAGCAGATGTCCATGGGCGGCGGTATGCACTTAACATCAGGTGAAAGGTCTGCTCGCTTGGCAACTTTTCGCATAAAAAAAAACGATCATCAAGATTAACGATTTTCTTCCGGTGTGAGAACGTGAGAATCGGCTACCACACCCAAAGGAACGCAACAGGCGCGCTATTTATTTATTCCTGGCCTGGCACGGTGGAGTAGTGACGAAAAACAACGATACGGGATTCATCTGAGGCCCCGTAAATGGAATAAATACAATAAATCCTTGATAAATTAAACCCTTCTACGGACTTTATCGTGTTTAATTAGACTTATTATTATCATTATTTAAATTCCCGACGCTTCTAAGCCTTTCTATCGTTCATGGTCAGACTATGGACCAATTGAAAAAAATTATAGAAAACAAAAAAAGATGGGATTTCAATAAATGTGTGCTGCCAGTGATGATTTACGTACCCAAAAGATTAGTAAGCTACTAATTGTAAATTGATACAATGTTTTACGTACATAGGTATTTATGTGACGTAGGTAAATATCTAGTATAGTAAGCTTTTATCCCACGGATGATTTTTTCAGTCTTCTTTCTTTTGATAACTAATTTTCTGTTTGAAAATCTGACTTAAAATTTCATTGTAGGTACATAAAAGTGATTAAGGAATTATAAGAACTTTGACATAAGTAGTTTTCTTAACTAATGACAATTTACTATAAGTAAGTCTTGTAAATGATAGATTCGTTAAAATGAAATGTAATTTATTATTTAATTGCATACTAGATGCAATGAGATGAAAATTGTAAAGTCAAAATAACAGTTTTTACAGTATCTGCACTAAAATTTTTATCTTATATTTTAACGGAACTTTTATTGAAAGTTGGTTGGTTTCATAAGAATTTATAATATTTTATACATAGGAGAATTATGAATACAAATAATAAATACAATTGAATATCTATAAACTGCCATAAGAAGATAAACATAATATACCTACTATTATCTATACGTATTTCGTCTTAGGTAAGCAAAAAACAAGGAATAAATGAATAAATAATAGCAAGTAAATCTAGTAATATTTTATAACAAGTTATAAGATATTACTAGATTCTAGTAATATCTTATAACAAGTTATAAGATATAACTAGATTCACTTTTTGCAAGAGCGGATATCGGGCAGGGCTTTTCCCCGACAGTGGTTCTTCCAGCCGTACCAAGCGTCGAAGCCGTGCCTCTGGAAGATCTTCTTGGCGCAAGTTGCCGCCTTCGAAATGTCATTACTCAGGAGCTCTGGAATACATTCATTATGCATCATACCAACATTTTAGGCAGAAAATCATGTAAATATCTCCTATAATGTAAAATAGCAGGGAAGCCCGAATGGGCGAAGAAAATCATGTCATGTATCCATGCAATGAAACAAGCAAACAGTGAAATGGAACGATACGTATAATAAGGTGAACTAACGTTTGCACGTGACGTTACAGTCCTTGCCGGGGGTGCCGCTGTTGCTGCACCAGTACTTGTCGTTGATCTGGAACAGCCCGTAGTCCCGGGAGCCGTTGCTGTTCTGCTTGCTCATGATGTCGGTCCGACGCCCGCTCTCGTGTTCCACCAGGCAGACCCCTTCGAATGTAGCAAAGTAAAGTAACAGCTATACACGAACGTCACACTCGTGGATGCAAGGTCACCTCTGTACAAAGGGCACCAGGGCATAGATACGCAGGATTTCCCGCGATCTTTTCCTTCACCGCCGATTATGTTCAATGCAACATTTATAATTGCAACGATTTTATTGATGGAATCGGGTATTGAAGTCAGATTTATTGAGTTTAAGTTAACTCTTATTCCATTATGTTCCACCACAAAAGTAGAAAAGTGAAGTAAAAGCAATACATGAATGTCGTTTCTGGGAATAGTACACCTCTGTACTGAGAGCCTTAAGGTATAAACCGAGCATGTTGTGAACAACATTTAATTGCAGTCAACAATTTTATCGATTCAAGTCAGGTTACTTGATTGTTAAAAATTAAAAACTGGCATCCAATCGCTGAACTTCCACGGCTCTTAGTAATTTAAACGTACTAGTTAAACGAGATGTCACGGAATATAAAGTTAAAAAATAAATGAATAATGCAAAGATTATTAAAATTATCAACCAGCATAAAACATTTCTGAATGCGTAAGCAACTTTTCAAATACAAGATTCTGAGGCGTAGTTGCCAAGGTATTGGCTTCGGTTTCGGGAGTCGTGGGATCGATTCCCACACTGGACAACTACTTGTATGATCCAGAAATAGTTGATGTAGGATAATTGTTTCGCATCTGGGTGTCCGCTGGTTTGTCCGCGTGAATTTTATGTATGGAAAATGTCCTTTCAACACATGGTAATATAATGTTATCCATATATAGTCCAAGTATATCGTTATGTATATAGTATATCCAAGGGCAATGTTTTTAAAAAAAATCAAAAATTTATCAGCGAATATTTGGTAGCGTACTAAGGACATGCGTGAATCTTTATGCTTACAATCTCGCATTTTATTTTCCGGAAAGCCGTGCCTTCTTAGTTCCTGTACCAGTTCACACCTGGACATCTGCTTTGCTTCGGCGAGGAAGATTACCGCCAGTGTAGAAATAAAGATTGTCCACTTCATTTTAACAAATTCAATTTTATTTGCGATTCAAGTGATTATAGACTGCCCTGACTGCGTTGCATACCGAACGAATGAAAAATAATAAATAAGATAAAGTAAATTAAGCGTTTATATATTGAATATTGTCACATAGTTGGTTATTGAAATTGTTATTTCATCACGCGATAAAGGCTATTAAAAAGCGATAAATTCCCTTTTTGTTCAAGCAGAAATATTGCGATTCTATGAACATTGTTTAAAGGAAAGAATGTGCTGAGAGGAAAAGATTGGGGCAGATAATTGATACGAAATAAGAAACAATTAAATAACCTTGTATATAATTTGTTTCCTGTGGATATAATATGTGGATGAAAGGCATTTGAGAAATACATTTTATTTTAAAGTGCTTATCGTACTCCACCTTGCAAGCATGCCACAAGCGCGGTCATAAATAACAAGAGAGTTTTTAGGTTGCATTTTTTTCATTCACTTCGTTTTATGGTTAGTTTTTTTCATTTTTAAGATGACAAACTTTGATAGTTAAATTATTATTGTACTAGGACAGCACTATTATCTGTAGATGGATTCCCTTAAATTCATAAAAGATAATATATTTGTGGTCCATTTAATCATGGAGATTTAAATTTCAATGTTAATTAAATATAAATAATGTCGTTCCCTTTTTTTTTTAATTTTATAGAAATAAATAAAGGGATTCACCGAAGTGGAGAGATAATGAGCAAAATAATAAGTAAGGATTACCTTTCGATCTGTCAGATCTGCTTGAATATAAAATATCGGAAACAACCTATTGTTCAATGTACCAAGCCGCTTCCGGTCATTTTTATTGATTTAAGTTGTAAACAATACAATACTGAACTGTTTCCTTATGCTTTTATGTACTTATTTTTATTTGTTTACGAAAACAAATTTACTTTTTCGTACGTATGTACTACTTGGCTTCAATATAAAGAGTACTTCACTACTTTTTTTAAGTAATAAGAAGTTGGTGAACGAGCAAGCGATTTACTAATTGATAAGACTTAAATTGTGAATTTTTGCACATGAATTGTCAAAATAATTTGGCACTGCGGGATTTGAATCTGCGACTTTCGAGTAACGCCCCTAGACGCTCTTAATGACTTAGCTAGATGGCTGATATACTCTCATTGAGTTAAAATCTCTCTTTCATTATTGAATTTTTTTCCAGCCTTCAATTACAAGGAGTATTTGAACGAGGAAATCGCCTTTACTAAAGAAAAATAAATCCACGATTTACCTACAAAAAATCAAATTTAACTTTCATCCTTAGAACTGAAATTAAAATTAACCATAAGGTTCACCTGATGGTTAGTGACTGCAAGTACACCCAATAGAGTTATCATGCCCCGAATCAATATACTGTATACTGTTTCCTAACCAATGTTAGGAAAAGTGCAGAATTATCATAAAAATGATATATCGTTAATAAAGTAATGAACTGTTAGGTATATCAATATATAGTAATCAATATATAACAACATTATAATAAATATTGAAGGTATATTAAGACGTGAAAGTTTGGGAATGTCCAGTAATAAATGTCAAAAAAAAAAAATAACGGTATCGAACATAACTATAAAAAACAAAAAAATATATCAGTCGAAAAAAGAACTTCCTTCTTTTTTGAAGTCTTTTTTTTATGTGAAAAGTTGCCAAACGTGCAGACGGTTCACCTGATGTTAAGTGAATACCGCCGCCCATGGACATCTGCTACACCCGAGGGTTACAGATGCGTTGACAACCTTTTGAAAATTGGGCTCCGGCTATCTCACTCACCAGACGAAACGCGAAAGTATTTGTCATACTTCCACTTTACGCCGGTCTTCTGTGAGGTCGTGGTACTTACCCGGACGGGCCTGCCCATTCGTGCAACAGCCGAGGCTGCTGCGTGACCCTAACACCGTTTAGTCGGTTAAAAATCAACCAATTGGTAACAAATTTGCCGCCTAACAGATATGGTAGATGTCAATGGACTCGTATCGGGAAACTGCTAGTATGTGACCAACATTAGAAACGTAATGCAAGGCCTCGATGTCAGCCAACGATTGATTATATCATTAAAAGGTTTAAAAAAATAATGACGCTTATTGTTTTGGGCCACATTGAAATGGACGCCGTTTGCAACATTATATTGCATCTCTCTTTTAAACACGCAAAATATTCACATAGTTATCAAACATTTTATCGTTTTCCTATTTCGTATGAAACACGTTGTGAAATGGTACATTCCTTGAACGCATTCTTTCCTTCAAACGATATCAATTTAATCTCAATACTCATGAACGAATAGGGAATTCCCTTTAGTAAGTAAAACAATCGTGGTTCAATAACTTAGTGCGACAATACTGAGTATATAAACGTTAATTGTTCTTTGGAAACATCATTCATTCCGTGTGTAACGTACGGAGCACTCTATATTAACTTAAATTGAAGAAGCTTATATGTTAAGATGAAGTGGACAATCGGTATTTTTGCACTGGCAGTCTTCTTCGTCGCCGAAGCAAAGCAGATGTCCAGGTGTGAACTGGTGCGAGAACTAAGAAGGCATGGCTTCCCGGAGAATAAAATGCGAGATTGTAAGCATAAAATTTCACGTATGTCCTAAAGTACGCCACCAAATATTCGGCGATAGATATATTCGGTACCACCCTAAGGTTGACTGGTAGGAAATGCTGTCAGCATTATGTCCGCCTATGTACTGTGTTTTGTGCGTGAAGTTTAAAAATAAAAAATAAATAAATAGAACATTTGAAAAGTTGCTTACACAGTCAGAGTTATTTTATGCTGGATGAAAAATTTAATAATCTTTGCAGTATTCATTTATTTGATTAATTTTGCATTCCACGTCATCTCGTTTAACTAGTACGATTTCTAAGTGCTGTGGAAGTTCAGCGATGAACGCCACAGCTTTTAGTTTTTAACAATCAAATAACCTGACTTCAATCGATAAAATTGTCGATTGCAATTATATCTATAAATGTAGTTTACATCATGCTCAGTTTATGCCTCACTCTCTGTGCAGAGGTGTACTTTTCCCAGAAACGACATTCATGTGTTGCGGTTACTTCACTTTTCTACTTTTGTGGTGGAACATAATGGAGCAAGCGTTAACTTAAACTAAATAAATCTGACTTCAATACCCGATTCCATCAATAAAATCGTTGCAATTATAAATGTTGCATTGAACATAATCGGCGGTGAAGGAAAATATCGCGGGAAATCCTGCGTATTTATGCCCTGGTGCCCTTTGTACAGAGGTGACCTTGCATCCACGAGTGTGACGTTCGTGTATAGCTGTCACTTTACTTTGCTAAATTCGAAGGGGTCTGCCTGGTGGAACACGAGAGCGGGCGTCGGACCGACATCGTGAGTAAGCAGAACAGCAACGGCTCCCGGGACTACGGGCTGTTCCAGATCAACGACAAGTACTGGTGCAGCAACAGCGGCACCCCCGGCAAGGACTGTAACGTCACGTGCAAACGTTAGTTCACCTTATTATAACACTAGCGAACCGCCCCGGCTTCGCACGGATGCGATGTATTATATATATAAACCTTCATCTTGAATCACTCTATCTAATTTAAAAAAACCGCATCAAGTTCCTTTGCGTAGTTTTAAAGATCTAAGCACACGTACAGACAGGCAGTGGGACGACTTTGTTTTATACTATGTTGTGATATCGTTCCATTTCACTGTTTGCTTGTTTAATTGCATAGATATATGATATGACCTGATTTTCTTCGTCCATTTGGGCTTCCTTAATATTTTACTTTATAGGAGATATTTACATGATTTTCTGCCAAAAATATTGGTATGATGCATATGAATGTATTCCAGAGCTCCTGAGTAATGACATTTCGAAGGCGTCAACTTGCGCCAAGAAGATCTTTCAGAGGCACGGCTTCGACGCTTGGTACGGCTGGAAGAACCACTGTCGGGGAAAATCCCTGCCCGATATCCGCTCTTGCAAAAAGTGAATCTAGTCATATCTTATCACATAGTCCATGATGAAATATCGTTTTAAACACTTTATTAATTTTGCATTACCTACATAATTATATTGTTGTTATAAAATAAATACATATATTTTTAGCCTACAAATTTCTTTAAACTTGGAACTTTCCATAGATACCTTCGTTTCGTATCAAAATAAAGCAGCTTTTGCTTGAACTCTACCGAACAAAACAACCGATTTAATTAAAATACTAAGTGAATTATTCATCCTCTAATTTTATCGCTGACACGATATTTAAATAGTATATCCTATGTCACTCCCACTACAGAGACGAATTTTATTACACCTCATATGTAAAAGAAAGAAAGAGGCCTTAGAGCCACAGAATTAGATATACACACATTATTAGATACATACGCTTGAAATACGTGACTCTCCGTCGGCAGTCCTGTTATAATTAAAAAAAAAGTTTATCCGTACTTTTGTACGCACGTAAGAAGTTATACTTCTTTATCGTAAATACATTACATTATAACGTTTTATTTAAATCGTCATCATCATTTCAGCCTGTTTGAGCCCACTGCTGAACATAGGCCTCCCCCACATACTGCCGCTTTATTTAAATAACTTTAAATTATTCGTAAATGTCAAAAAGTTGTTATTGGTTGTCATAGTAATGCCGTGAAGTTGGTTGCTTAACCAGTTGGTACCAACGTCATCATGTCGCTTTTTGAGGTTAAAAATTTTATCTCATAATTTTTTCCAAACGTGCCAAAAGATGCCACTTGAACATCAAAAATAAAAACACAACATCACACATTAGCTCCCGTAAAAATAGCAATTTGCCAACGGCACATTACTCTTGTTAGATGTCGACAATACAAACGTCTTCTTGGTCTTCTTGCTCCCTTATATTTCACTTATATTTTCTTTTTTTTGTAGTAGTAAGGCAGGTGATAGCAAAATAAGTACCGGTGACAAAGTTAACAAACATACACAGCGTAAATCGTAAACACGATAAATAAAGCCGAGCTATAGCGGTAATCTAAACACCTCGGAACTAAATTGTAGGCAGAATACAAGAAATAAATAATTTATTAGATAATTAATGCATGTTAATTATTATAGTTTATACCACGAATGTTAGAAAAACAGAAGTACTTACAAGATATTTCTGTAAATGTCAATTAAAGCTGGAATATTTCTGCAACTATTTTTCTGCTAAATATGAAAGATCTGCGCAAGTCCGGTATATCTGGTTAAGTGGATGGGGATTGCAATCAGCCAAATATTTGAGTCAGACCGGATCAACTTCAATTTAGAAGATCTGCCATAGTTAAGCGAGCGAATCTCCCACAGTGACAGTCTATTGAAAAATCTTGAATGATTCTTCAACAGCTGATTCACGGGGCATTATAAGGTTCAATCTTTGCAGAAGCTTTATCACAAACAGTAGCTCTAATTTATTGAAACTTATCAAAATGTTATCCTTAAATTTGCAGAACACCAAAAGGTAAAATTTGGGTAAATTATTAAGCTTAAAGAGAAAGATCCACAGTGTGCAGTTGCATAATTATCCCTAAAAGAGGATTTACTTTGTAACCTTACCAACGAGACGACAAAAAACATCATTCTTTTCGAATTTTGATTGATTCTATTTGAATTTCGTTTTCTGTGAGGTAGTACTTTAGTCAATCGTTCGAAGATACACTTCCTCCACGGCTTAATTAATGCTATAGCAGATGGTGCGTGACTTTACTACATTAAAAGTCGCAATAAAAGAACATAGTAAATAATTTGTATTGCGAAGACCTAACATAAGGTATATGTGCAGTTAAAAAATTATCACTTACGTAAGTGAAAATTTTTCCTGAATGTTAAATTGTAATTAATCATTCTGATTCATGACAAAAATATGTACGTAATAAGTAAAAATTGAAACAAAATTGTAGGCAAAAAAGTATGTATTTACTTTATAAACGTAACATATTTGTAAAAAGATCTTAATTTGAATTTTGAATGCGGAATAAATAAGTTGTCGACTTAATATTTTTATGTCAATGTGGTGTTAGCGTAAGAAGATTTGTCTCTTGCAGGAGCTGATGTCAGGTAGGGGTTTTCTACGGCAGTGTTTCTTCCAGCCGTACCAAGCATTGAAGCCGTACCTCTGATAAATTTTCTGGGCGCAAGCGGCCGCCTTCGAAATATCGTTTGTCAGGAGCTCTGTAATACATTATGCATTTGTAAAATAATATTTCAGCTAGCAAATTATGAAGGCCGCACCATTTTGTATTGTCTTTTATCTATGTTCTTTTTCTTCTATACATAATTATAATAAAAATAAAGTGTAACTGATCGTTGTCACTAAGTGGGAGTTATTTGAGAAAAACTATTATTGGTGGCCTTTACCAACGCAGTAGATCCCAAAACAATGATTGTTAAAATTTTTGTCTGTTTATCGGTTTGTTTGTGCGGTTGTGTGTGCTTATCTCTGAAACGGCTAAACCGATTTGCTTGCAATTTCCACTAATGAATTATAGCAGGCTTTAATTAACATTTAGTGCTAGTTTTATTTCAATCGGTTCATAAATAAAAAAAGTTATATCAAAAATGCTACTACATATTAGCTACAGATGAATTGGATGAAACAATAGTTAAATATATATTATGGTCATAATAATTATAATCATAATCATAATCATCTTTATTTGGTCTGTAAAATAATGATGAAGGTTTATATAAAGTTACGGACTCGTGCACTAAGGTTTCCGCAGGTACTTTTTAAGCATGATATAAAATACTATATTTACAAGCGGGCGAAACAGCGTGTGGGTAGTACGTTTAGTAGGAAAGCTCGAAACGGTAAAGAAAATCAGGGTCCTTAATAGAGGTAACTGTGGGACCATCCGCGCAACTGTCTTCGCTATTGCACGAATGGGTAAGTTCGGGTAAGTACTACGACCTCAAGGAAGAGCGGCCTGAAAGTGGAAGTGTTATACTGCGTTTCTTCTGGTGAGCGAGGTGGCCGGGGGCCAGTACAGTACAGTACAGTACAGGCCGGGGGACTTTACAGTAAGCTGGCAAACGCACGCCCACGGGTGTTGCCAGCGAATGTCAATGGGCGGCGGTTGTCACTTAGCATCGGGTGAACCGCCAGCTCGTTTGCCACCTTCTCACATAAAAAATCTTTAGCAAACGGCATATTATATTATATCCTCACTCCTTACTAATATTATAAAGGCGAAAGTTTGTATGTATGGATGGATGTTTGTTACTCTTTCACGCAAATACTACTGAATGGATTTAATGAAACTTTACAATAATATAGCTTATACATCAGAATAAAACACACGCTATAACTTATATACATATTTTTATGTATATCTGTCTTTCTGTCTGAATGTTACGCCTTCAGCCTATTCTACGCAGACGTAGTCGCGAGCAGCAGCTAGTGAAGTAATAAGTAAGATAATCCGGAATTACCTTGGCACGTGACGTTACAGTCCTTGCCGGGAGTGTCGCTGTTGCTGCACCAATATTTGTCGTTGATCTGGAACAGTCCATAGTCACGGGAGCCGTTGCATTTTGGCTCGCTGACGATGTCCGTCCGACGGCCACTCTCGTGCTCCACCAGGCAAACCCCTTCGAAAGTAAATAAGCATCGAAGAGTGACAGACTTCGAGTACAATTTAAACCGACTTCAAAAAAGAAGGATTTTTGTCAATTCGACCGTATATATATATTTTTTTTATGTGTGTTTGCGGACAACTTTTTCGTTTATGAACCGATTTTGATGATTCTTTTTTTATTGGTAAGGAGATATCCTAAGGGTGGTACCATGAAGAAAACCCGGATGTCATGATGGCATCACAGAGAAATCGAGGGTTGCTTGAAGTCTGTTTTTTTGTTAAAAATTATTATTATTAATAAGAATCCAAAACTGACTTCAATTATCTCACTCGCTATGGATTTTCTGTTTGTATCTAATAAAATTAAATTAATTCGGGAATACAGGGGAGGTAAACCGGACCAAATGCAAAAAGAATTTTCAAAATCTTTTCATAAATGACGGATTTATAGTTCATAAAGTAATAAATATACATATTAAAAAAACAACCTTTAAAAAAACATCAACTTCATTCAATTTTCTTTCCAATTTTTTTTCTTATTGTTTATAGGTATGCAAGTTTACCAGCGACGTTTTTTCTTTTAAAATGTATAGATCAGTCTACCCGTATGTTCAAATTACGATATATAAGTATATTGTTTTTATTTCTTAGGCATAAAAGTTTTCTAGGGATGTTTTTTCGTTTATTATACACATATTATTATATCTATATTTTCTTTTAAGAATATTACCCTTGCTTGCTTATCACATAATCTTGTGTGTGTCAATGACATAAATTTCACGTGGACAAACACTTAGATTCGAAACAAGTATCTGTGGGCCACACAGACAATTGTCCCGAGTGGGAATCAAACCCACGAGAGTAGCCAATACCTTGGCAACTGCAACAGTTTTAAAGGAATAAAGGTTCGAAATATAAAATATTTCTATATGTTTTTCTCCAGATTTTTCTCCTCGGCGTAACAGAGCTCTGTGAAAGAACTGGTGCGGTTAAAATAATATTTTACGGTGATAATTACTCACAATCTCTCATTTTGTCTTCCAGGAAGCCATTCTTTCTCAATTCTCGTACCAGTTGACATCTGGAAAGCTGCTTGGCTTCGACTAGGCAGAAGACCGCCAGGGCAAAGATTACGATTGTCCACTTCATGTTAACAGATAACAATTAAATTGCGTATAAAAAAACGTGCGTTTAAATACTGAATTGTCGGAAACTTATTGGATTGCGTTATGATTTACCCAATCACAGGAATTTCCTTTGTGACGAAATCCAATCAGTTGCGATTTAATTGTCATTGCTTAAAGAAAGCATATGTTAGCGTATATAGGAAAATATATTTCAAGAGAGATTATTGATACGAATTGACCTATATTTTACGCGATAGCAATGGAGATCAGTTAAGAAATGTATTGTTTTACAAAAGACTAAGCTTCGTGTTTAAAATAAATTTATCACTAACTTAGTTCAAATGCAAATTCGGTAGATCAATGTACTTCCTTCCTGAAAAGATACATTTCAGCTCATTCATGGGCGTTTCAAGTTTCGTCTCAATTAAAATTATGATTTCTTTCATTTTATTCTTTAAAAAAGGCATCGCAAACAAACCTAAGTGGCATTTAAGGTTTACTAATCATTGTAACTAACAGAATTATACTTCTTATTTATCTAACTTAAAGGTATACATAACAATCATTTGAACAAGAAACTTCGATCACTTACGTAATTAACAGATAGTAAAATGTAATATAAATAACAAATATGATATTAAAAAATAATATACACACAAAGAGCCTTTGCACTTTTTATTTATATTCTATTTCTTTTACTATATTCTATGCTCTATGAGTAATATTCCAATTTGTTAGAGAACTTAACATTTCATAGCTTATGGTTTTTATTTCCATTTTATCAGTAAGAATTATACTGGATGTCGATTCGGCTGAGTAGTAGGAAAGTACCAAATACCATACGGAAATAAACAGAACCCGTTTAGATAGTAAACAAACATGCCTATATGTGTTATTTGGCTTCAAAATAGAAGAGAATTTCGCTATAAAAAAACTTTTCACTATCTTTATTAGAGGCAGTGTGGGGAAAATTATTCATGAACCATCATATTTATTAGAAAATCGGCTTGAATATGAACTATTTTGAATAAATGACGAAATAACAATAAAATTTCACTGCATTAACCGATTTAATCATCAAGTTGTTTTCGTTAAGCCCTTTAATTTTTTATCATGGATAATTGCAGGGTCATTCGAGACAAATAATAACCAAACTAAAAGAACATGGAATTTACAGGTCACAGCACCGCAGAGGGTAAGAAAAGCAAAGACTTTCATAATTTTTAAAGAATAGCCTGATTCTTGAAACACAAGAATCTGTTTTTGTTAGATTTTAAAACCGAGACAAAAAAGTACTTGCCAAAGTCTTTCTAAATTATGACTGCACACAAACTTTATTGCGAAGTGGAAAACCTTATATCGTTATAATGAGTGTGAATACCCTCGTAAAATTGTACATTCTTTAAAACAGTTCAGTTTTTCGCTGTTCCAGTTTGTTTATTCGATAAATATTTCTGAATAAAAGTTATTCTGTATTTTCATTTAGATTTTTCTTTTTGATAGTTTTAAGTTCATATTACTAATATAACACTTAAGTAAGACCAGCAGTGAACTTGAATATAATGACAATAATGTATGGCCATATATTGTCAGAGCTGTTTTCAATAGTTGTTTTGATCGAGATTATTAAATTAATTCGATATAATATATTTATATATATATATATATATATATATACATATACAAATATATGTATATTAAAGCTGTAAATATTATGCAGTAACTGTGCCGCTTGTGGCAGGAGGTGATCGCCTTGTTATCAATTTTGCATTGAATGTCTCTAATTAAAGTTTTATCGTCCAAGTAAATGACTCATCAAATGATAAGATAATTTCCTTGCGTTTTACTTTAGTAATATGTCAATTAATCAATAATGACTTCAATTGATTGCATTGATAAATTCTGATTGCAACAGGAGTTTGAATAACATAAATTGTACAAGTGAGTGTTAATTCTTCAAAAATCAATCAAATAATCTACTACGTTAATATTTGTTATGATTAAATTTTATTACAATCCAGTAATGTATGTATAAAAGAACTATCATAATAAAGTTAATATTATTAGTTTTATTTTATTTACGAAAGTAAAGTAAGTAAAGTATCAGCCTATACATGTCCCACTCTGGGCAAAGGTCTCCTCTGTACAGTGCTTCCATCTATAAGTACTCCTTGCAAATTCATTACGGCACTGACACTTATTACAGGCAAATAAATTGAAACGCAACCCAAGAAGGAAAATCCTTAACAGTGGAAATATTAATGCAATATAGTTCATTACCTTTTTGATAAAGAGTTGTTCAGTATTTAAGCAAATGTTTTTTTCCAAATGACGTCAGTTGTTTCGTGTCTTTGGATATTGCAGTTCTTCAAAGACTTGAAGGAATCTTATGTGACTTAAATTCCAATTAAAGTAACACAGCTGTCAGTATGAAATGGACAGTTGTCATTTTAGGCCTGGCAGTATTCTTCTATTCTGAAGCCAAGCATTTTTCCAGATGTGGACTAGTACGAGAACTGAGGAGGCAAAGCTTCCCGGAGAGCAAAATGCGAGATTGTAAATACGTATAATCATTATTAAGGCCGTTAAATATTTTTTCTTTAAATTGAAAAAAAAAATCAATATTTACAATATTTTTAAAATTTTATAGTGTTAATCTCTTTATTATGCCACACAAAAAAGTCACGGGTTACAATGATAAAAATTTTGATGAACTTTTCATATAATGACATAAAGTCGATTACGATAATAAAAAAAAACATATATAAAATAACGGAAATGATTAGATGGTGATCAGAGGTTAAACTTTTTATTCGATGGTGAAAATGCGATAGTTATTTTCAATGAACCTTCATTTATTCTATGGGCTGGTATTAAGTGGGGCTTAAATAATTTTAATTCTATTTTTTAGTATTTGTTGTTGTAGCGGCAACAGAAAAACATCATCTGTGAAAAATTCAACTGTCTAACTATCGCGGTTCATTAGATGCAGCCTGGTGACAGACGGAAAGACAGACAGACAGCGGAGTCGTAATAATAGGGTCGTTTTACCCTTTGGGTACGGAACCCTAAAAATGCCATTGCCTATTTTTTATTCGGATTTGACATGTTTAACAGTTTAACTATCTTAGGGGTGTGTATGGTAGAACACGAAAGTGGGCGTCGGACTAACAAGGTGAGCGAGCCGAAGAGCGATGGCTCCCAGAGCTATGGGCTGTTCCAGATCAACGACAGGTACTGGTGCAGCAACACTGACACGCCTGGCAAGGATTGTAACGTCACTTGTAATGGTATGTACGAGCAGTGTTTGCGAGCGAATGGTATGTACGAGCAGTGTTTGCGAGCGAATAGTATGTACGAGCAGTGTTTGCGAGTGAAGGGGTGAAAGCAAAACTTCATGTAAGTGGAGGTCTTAGGACCAGTGTCCTCAAGTAGTGGAAGTGCTGGGGACGAGTTTAGAACCCATTCAGCACAAATAAAGGAAAAAAATCGAAAAATAAAAAAAAGTTGTAAATTAAGGTAAATTTTGGTACTTACAAGTTTTCGCGAAAATCTTGCCCATATCTTTTTATCGTGTCGACTCAGGACCTTGATTTATAGACCTAATAGAGAGACTGTACACCTGGTATAAACTTCAACTTGCTAGGTCCGCCCGTTCCGGAGAAAATAGTTGGTGATTATTGGGTAAGTACGGAACCCTCGGCGTACATGTTCGACTTGCACTTGACCAGTTTTTATATTTTAGTTAACTTTTACTTACTGTCTTTAATTTTCTTTTATTGACTTAGAACAAAATTATTACGTTCCGAAAACAATTCAAATATTTTAACATTGTACAAGACATTTTAAAACGTAATTTGGTCGTGGTTTCAATTCCCACGCGGGACAAGATTTATTTGTATGATCTACAGATAATTGTTTCGGATCTAAATGTTTCTGTTTTATGTCAAATAAATCTCTTTCTTTCTTATTTCGTTTGTGTTTTAAAAGGCTTCTACGCAAGATCTTACTCGTACAGTGTGAGGTGTTTGTTTAGCAAAACCCGTTCATATGTATAGAGAGAGCAAGATTAATTGTTGATTTTAAAAGAGACAATATTGTTGTAACATTACTAGTCCCTTTGAACAAAACATGTTTTGTAAAATTATAATATAACGACAAGAAATGAAAAGTTTGTTTTACCCGGAATGCGTTCGGAATTCGGGATTGATTAAAACAGTTATAGATTATACAAAAAAAAAGATACTTTAAGAGTCATATCGACCCCTCTGCTAAATTTTTAGCTTTCTCCTCCATTTACCGCTTCCCACGTATTATTTGATGGCACGTTAAATTATATTTGCGGATCCATTGTATCTCAACGGTAAATAATATAATATTAAATGATATACGTTTCTCTTTTAGAGCTTCTGTCCAAAGATATAACGAAGGCGGCAAATTGCGCCAAGATGGTTTACCGGAGAGACGGTTTCTACACTTGGGATGGCTGGAAGAATCACTGCCGGAAAAAACCCCTGCCGGATATCGGATGCTGCAAGAAATGAATGAAAGTATTAATTGCTTAGTGAACCGTAATTCAAATTTTTCACTGACTGCATAAGTATTACGTTAGGAACTACAATGCGTCCTTTTCAACCAACTTCGAATAAAACAAAAATCATCAAAATCGCTTCACTCAGTCGAAAGTTCTGAGGTAACAAACATAAAAAAAAATAAACTGAGCCGTCACGGGACGCCTGGCAGATGTGAAACATCGACATTATTTTGTAAAAGTTATATGCAGAAAAGAACAGATTTTGATAGGAACTAAATATGTCATAATGAGAAAATAAAACATTACGATTTTTTTCCAGATAGCGATGACTACTTATTGAATAAACATTTATTTTCATTAAATACAAAAATTTACGAATTTATTTCAAATCGTGACTACTTAATTCGTTTAATCAGTGACTTCGGTAATAGTTATATTCGATGTTGCCTCTGAGGACGGTATTACTGTGACAATTGGTCGATGGTAACTGAAGTATGTTACAAAAGTATTGGACATAACACGAATATATGAAATATGAAATGATGTCATTAATTTTTTTATTAGGAGAAATGTACACAACAATCATCATCAATTCACTTCCATCTTCTAGTTTAACGTGTGAAGCACACATATCGCCAATATATGGGAGATGTTTGGGACGCATGCGGTGGCGACGCGTCGCCACGGCATGCGTCCCTCCATGTCCCATGCATCCGCAGAAATCGGTTTTACGTGCATCTCAAAAATAATACAGTCGAATTGAGAACCACCTCCTTGTTTGGAGTCGGTTGAAAAGGAGGAGGTTTTCAATTCGTTTCTATGTTTCTTTGTTTACCTCAGAACTACGTCATTTATGAAGCGATTTTAAAATTTCTTTTTGTATTGAGTTTGGTTTAGCTCCCATGTGGTCCTATATTAATTTCATTGGTATTGGATTTTGGCCTCCGGAGATACTTCAGGAAATCAATTACAAATTGAATACAGAGTGAGATGTTTGAAGTTGCTTTGGTTTTTCGTTAATAAAATGGATTTGTCTTCTGTAAAAGATGTAATGTTGTGTTTTAGTTATATCTATACACATTTTCCACCATATTGTTTTTATTGTCACATCTTGTCAATATTATTCTAGTTAATAAAGATGTAAAAACGGCACAACGCAATATACTTCTCCATTTTATCCTCTAATGAAATTAATCGTTGTATCTACAGACACTAATGGCGGATAAATATGATCAGATAGAACACTTGGGAAATCAATACTGTATCTCGTAACAGTGTTGTAAGCAATAAGTATGGTTCAGATCATTGCCCTATATTGAAAATAATACAACAATGTAGGCCTCAGCTTCATAATGTATTTCTTAATATACTATTGAAGCCGATATGTTTCTTAATATGAATATATCATAACAAAATTAATTTACCGATTTTAGGGCCATTTACTTTTATTCTAAACCGTCTTCCGTTTTGAATATTTACCAGTATTAGAAGATTTCAAGAGATATTAGACTGACGCCCGTTTTTTGAAACACTAACGGCCGGTTTCTGAAACACTGATCATCGTAAATGTCAACTAATGAGCTGTGAAACAGCTTTTCGAATTACATTTTAGTTGCCAAAAGGTTGGTTAAACTCTCAGAATTGACCAGAATGATCTTAAGGGAGTTGCCAAAGGGATGGCTCTCTGAATGGATCAAAATGATCTTCTCAATGAACAGAATGATCAATTCAAATAGTTCAACCATTCTTTTGGCAACACAAATGACATTCGAAAAGTCATTTGACAGCTAATTAGTTAATTTCTACGATGATCAGTGTTTCAAAAACCGGGCGTAAGATGTTCAAAATGACATCAGGGTTATCAGTTAACTCAGTACTTACATTTCTTGGAATCTTAAACAATAATAAATTAAATGAAGACAACTATTTTGAATAAATCTGTAAAATGTTTTATTTAATCATTACTTTTATATATTAATTGTATTCTCGTAACAACAAGAAATCAATATGAATACAATTATATGAACAAGTTAGTACTTTAGATCCAATAATTTGTATATTATACAAACGGAGCGTTAAAAATCCTTTTGCCAAATAAAAAGCAAAATTACACTAGTAACTTCAAGGTCCACGAAAGTGAAATGGAGGTAGAGCTAACTTTTTGTGTTTGACTCGAAAGAGTAAAAATGGCGGAAGGAGTCATACGAGCTACATTGCGGGGGTGATGATATTTTAAATTACTTATTGAATTTAAAAGAAGTTGGTACTATTGGCAAATACCAGTTTTTTCAGTTTATTTTAATAACGTCAACATTAATTGTAATACGAGTAAGTCTCGAAATTTCTAAACGCGTAATGTAAAAAAAAACACGGTAAAAGCTTTATTATAAGTATATTATACAAACTATACTGTATATTAAAATGGCGGATGGAGTCATACGAGCTACATAGCGGGGGTGATGATATTTTAAATTATTTATTGAATTTAAAAGCAGTTTGTACTATTGGCAAATACCAGTTTTTTCAGTTTATTTTAATAACGTCAACATTAACTGTAATACGAGTAAGTCTCGATATTCCTACGCGGTAAGAGCTTTATTATAAAACAGGGTTTTATATGATCACGTGAAAAGCATTAACTGTTTCTGCCTTAGAAAGCTAAAAAATCTTCCAAGCTAATGTCAAATAACAGTTACATAAACTCGATTGATAAAACGTCCACAGCCTCAAACTCCACCTACACGGTAAGAGCATCTCAGGAAGTTGGGCTAAAATCTAAAGTTTAAACAAGGCATATTAAATATCCTTACAAGCGTCGGTCAGCGAATAGTTTGTCTTCGCTGCGGAATTTGTAGTTAAGTGTCGTTAAAGCTTCAAACATCTTGGTTGCTCAGGATGGATAAATTCACCGTAATATTGTTACGTGTAACCTTTCACTTAAGGACGTTGGAACGTTGAATAAATTTAGTAGCATACTTACTCTATGGAATACATTAGTCTCGTATTATTTTCACATAGACACAGATGTTGACAAACAAACAGAGTACCTAAATGGAATGAATTAGAGTCCTACTATATTTTACACGTGAAATTAGACAATGGTAAACAGCATGTAACGTTTTTTTTAACAAAACCGTTATTTTTAGTTATGAAATTATTAATATAATACAAGACTATAAAGAAATGTCACTCGAGAATAATGCAGATTTTCATCATTAAACCAAAAATATAGAACTTCTTTAAATTTTCAGAAATCTCCCGGACAAAGAAACATTTGTTTCTTATTAATATGTGTTTATGTAAATCAAATATGGGTCTTTCCGGACCGACTATTTTAAGAACTCTTTTACGGTCAAAGCCTTGCCTATGGAACGCGCTTCCTCCACAAATCCAGCTCAAAAACGTTACGTAACTTTAAAACTGACGTTATTAATTATTATTTGTCACTGTGTTCATGCTGATTATCACCGACGACATTTGTATATTTATAAATTTTTTTCTTCCTGTATATATTTTTGTTAGTATATTATTGTTTAGTATATGTTTAGATTTATGTATGTCTATTGTATCTTATTTGGTATATATTAGTATATTATTATTATACAAAAATACAACATATTCGTTTAGTTTATTTAAATGTTAGTATGTAAGTTTATCATTTACACCACAAAGTTGTCTGGAAGAAATCGCTCCTTAGCGATGAGACCCCCCTTATTGTTTATACCTCTTAAGTTTATAGTTCTGTAACATTTCCTTTTATGTTCTATGGTGTTCAATAAAGTATATATAATAATAATAAATGACCTGTTTGGTCATACCGAAAAGGAGCGTACGTTTGAAATGGCCCTTAGTTGGTGCCGCAGTGCTGGTTTTTTGCGAAGTAATGTTGGTCATTATTGGAATTGTCTATCAGAAATCCTTGTTCTCCGATAACCCACCCTTGACCCAGAAGGGTGGGTGACAGGTAAAATCTAGTTTATAATACGCCATTTGAACTAGTCATAAAAGGTCAGTCGGCAATCATTTATTTAAATATGCGTACAAGAATAACTCAGAAGTGTAAAATGCAGACATACGTACGAGTATGGCATAAAGAATGAATACAAGACCTTATTTAGATCACGACCTATTTATGTTCTGTACTCGCTGAAGAGCAACTAGGTTGTCATTGGACGATTCCAGAAAGAAACTCTTTGTCCCAGAACTTATATTTCACACGATATTTCATTCATGGTAATATAAGGTTGCTTCACACGAATTACATACATAAATTACGCGCGAGAATTAAATTGAAAACTTTATATAATAAACTAGTGACCCGCCCCGGCATCGCATGGCTGCGATGTATTATACATAATAAACCTTCCTCTTGAATCACTCTATCTAGTAAAAAAAACCGCATCAAGATCCGTTGCGTAGTTTTAAAGATCTAAACATACACAGGGACAGACAGACAGCGGGACGACTTTGTTTTATCATAGTATAAATAGTGATGTGTTTATATGTTTTCAAACGATACCTGATGATAGTGAATACCGCCGCCCATGGACATCTGCCACACTCAAGGTGTCCAGTTGAAACCTTTTGAAAATTGTCTTATCAGTTGTTAACGAAACGCGAAAGTACGCACAAACACTTTACGCTGCCATATTAAACGGGCCTGAATGAAACCAAGTTCTTTACGGATTTTATCGCGTTTTAATTTGACGTTTCCAACCCTTTCCTGCGTTTATGGTCACGGGACAGTCAGAAACATTTTAAATCAGTTCATAATTGACGGAGTTATCAGTTCTTCTTCTTCTTCAGTGTGTGTTCCCCACCGTTGGGCATACGCCTCTCCAATTTTCATTGGAGGTTATTAGCTCGATTCTCGCCACGCCAGCCAAACGTCTTGGCGAGCTCCACATTTTCAGAAATTGTTTCCATTTTTCTGGGCTTGTGGCAGCCTACATAAGACAGGTTACTTAACCGCCGTTCGATGCTCTGCGTTGTCTTTCAATTAGCGCCACTCAGGGGGCACGTGTAGTGAATCTAAACGGACGTGAAAGACGACCTCTAGTTAACAAACATAAAAAACACCAGCCAAGTGCGAGCCGGACTAGCGCACGATGGGTTCCGTACCATTATCTATAAAGACGGCAAAAAATCATGTCTGTTGTAAGGGAGCCCCACTTAAATATATTTTATCATGCTTTTTTTTAGTATTTGTTATAGCGGCGATAGAAATACATCATGTGTGAAAATTTCAATTATTTGACTGACAGACAGACTGAAAGACAGTGAAGTCTTAGTAATAGGGTCCCGTTTTACCCTTTGGGTACGGAATCCTAAAAACACAAACTAATTGCAAATCTCCTCCTTTTAGTCGTTGAAAAGTAAAATACAAGTATTAACAATACTTCTAGTTTAGCTGAAATTAGCTTAATACAATAACAGCAATCATTCCACAAACCTGTTTTAGTCTAGTTTTAATTAACCGAGTTCAAAAAAGAAGGAGGTTTTACGAAAATATTATTGTAAGCGCTTCTTTTTAACATTTGTTTGCAAGGCATGCTAATGCCGGATAGTGGCAGCGTAGAATAAAAATTAGTATTTGCGTATCGTAATAGACCGGCATAAATAGGAAATTCCATTGTGCCCGATGACATCAGGGCTGTGAACGAGGGGTTGTAAAGAAAAAAATAAACGAGTCACATGACATAGTTGTGTGTGAAATAAGTCGTCTGAGACTGTTTTATATTCCAATCACGGGTTTTCGTATTTGAATATGAATGTGTATATATATACATATATTCATTATATTATTATTATTATATAAAAAATGATATTTTAAAAATAATAAAGTACAGATGGTAGGAAAGTACTACGTACATATAAGCGCATTTATATATGTATGTCTGATGATAATTCAATGGTCTTCTTTTTGTTATGGATGTCGTATTAAAATACGTCAATGCCTTTATATTGTCTACTAGTCCTGGTATTGTATGGTATTTATTTTGTAAGGTATTTTTGACACTTTAAAATAAACGTATATTATTAATTTAATTGTTTAAATGTTCCTGCACGAAAGGCTATTAATCGTTGATGTGCTAGAGATGTGCGAGCGAAACCTTATCGATAAAAAAGCTCGTTTTTAACCGACTTCAAAAACGGAGGAGGCTCTCAATTCGAATGTATTTTTTTTTAATGTTTGTTACCTCAGAACTTTCGACCGAATGAACCGATTTCGATGATTCTTTTTTTTATTTGAAAGCTGGTGCTTCCCATGTTGTTCCGTATTAATTACATTGGTATTGGATCTTGGGCTCCGGAGATACGAAGGGAGCTTCTAAAAATCAATTATAAAATGTATACAGAGCGAGATTGAAGGATATTAAGTAGGTTTTGTTTTTCGTTAATAAAATAATTTTGAACAAAAAAAACCGACTTCAAACAGAAAACTGAAAAAACATTGTCAACGCCTATAACATTCGTGGATTGCCCTCGATTTCTCTGGGATGCCATCAAAATCTGGGTTTCCTTATCATGGTACCACCCTTAGGATACCTCCTTTCCAACCAAAAAAGAATCATTAAAATCGGTTCATAAATGACGAAGTTATCCCCAAACAAACATAAAAAATATATATACGGTCGAATTGAGAAACCTCCTCCTTTTTGAAGTCGGTTAAAAAAATAGAGCCGTGATAGCTCAGTGTCCGGGCGCTCGCCTTTAATTCAATATACTCGAGCAACCTAAGTTCGATCCCCGGTGCCGGCACCAATGAAATTGTTAATTTTAAGTGTTGAATTATCACGTGCTCAGCGGTGAAGGAAAAAGTAAATAATAACCAAAAAAAATATTTCGAAGAAATGTGAAGTCCGCCAATCCGCAGTGGGGCCGCGTGGAGGACTATGCCCTGATACTCTGTGTACAGAGGAGGCCTTTGCCCAGCAGTGGGACATGTATAGGCTAATGCTTTTAATAAAAATAAAAAAAACTTGTTGTATCAGTAGACCACGTGTCTTTCGTTCACACATGTGAGGTGCCTACTGATGGTAACTACTGCAGTATTAATAAGTGGTGGCACGCGAGCAGCTACTGTGTTTATAATCTCAATAGACTTAGATAGCGCCATCTGTGATGTGCTTACTTGTGTGGAAAATTATAGCAGGTGTAAATTTTGATTGTAAACGCTTGCCTTCGGAGACTATTCTATTCTATTCGACTTAGAAGTTCAGTTTTAATTAATTATTCATTAATGATAACATATTATATTTAGTTTCATAATTATTCATAATAATCCAAAAGAGTGTGGTGTATGAAAGACTAAATAAAATAAAATAATACTGAACCGAATAAATAAAATAATGTAATAGAAACACTTAATTTTCGTGTTAAATATTACGACTTGGTTTTTTGGCGTTAAAGATTTAGATAATATCTTCACTTTTAGATTTTTGTGCCTTCAATTGATCTCATTGTTCCTAGAACTGGATTGGATAATCCCTCGGGGTCTCGGTCCGAACCGCGACCTCGACGGCCCTTAGATGACACACCATAATTAAACGGAGGGTCCAAATCCGTGGGTTCTGGCTAGCCCACGGTTCTGCGTCCGATGAAGCTTTAATAGTCTCGGGACTGAAAGCAAAAACATCAGTTAATACAAGATACAAGATGGATAATCCCTTGACGCGAATCTGTTTATGTTAAAATTAATTTATGAGATATAGGTATTTTCTGGTACCTTCATAACTGTGAATTTTTTAGTAAAGTACTTAACGTGTCTGCATCCTTGAGTTACATTTCACTACACTGAAAGAGGTACTCCAGTCGAAAGCCACACCTGCTCTTTGTAAGGGTAGGCTCCAGTGTAAGTTAGCTACTCTGCGAGCGCTTTGTGTTTTTCGCTGCAAAGCTCCGCCAAGAGTGAATCGCGTTCGATGTTTTTGGTTCCGTACGTAACATACTTCGGGTTGTGAGTAATTGCTCGATAGTGAGAAATGCTAACTGGGCCTATCGAATTTAGAGGTACGTTTAAGTTAATCAGTAACCAAGTAAGTAAGTTAAGTATTTACATAAAGTTTTAAGAAATGGACGTAAAGCTTAATACGATCGTAATAAACCCTCAACGTCATGACTGTAAAAATATTGATATGATGTAACGAAAAACAAAAGTGACTTCAAAATATTTACCCACTATATATTTTCATTTTGAGTTTAATGATGTATCTTCGGAGTCTAAGTAACAGGTGCAATGAAACTAATATCGGACATATTATAGTTTCATTGCAACTGTTACTTACACTAACCAATGCGAAAAGGTCTGAGGTAACAGTCATCAAAAAAAAAAACCTTCTTCTTGCACTTCTGCGTTTCGTCTGGTGAGTGAGATAGCCGGGGCCCACATTATTAATAGGAGGCAACGCATCTTCAACCCTACGGGTGGCAAATGTCCATGGGCAGAATCAGAATCAGAATCAGAATATCATTTATTTGCCTATTTGTGTATTACAATTTATAATCCTGTGGCCGGTGAGCCGTGCAGGGATGAGTCAGCTAACTTATGTCCTAATGGATCTCTGTTTGCCGTGGTTTAATTATTCGTAATAAGTTAGTAGGTACCATTACGTACAAACATATTACGTGTATCATTTATTATGTGTGCTTAAATTCTATCATATACAGAGATTATTTTATTTTAAGTGGACGCGGAGTCTTTGTTTTATCAGCAGGCCACCGTCTGTGTCCTTTTTTATTAGGGTCATACAATATTTCGCCTATTCTGTGATTAACCGTAAGGGGGTTGAATTCGTCTTTCGCTTGGTAGGCGTCACCAGGAAATTCAAGATCTTCTATTTGTAATTTTGCGATGGTTTCCAGCATCTTGGTATTAAGGTCCTCTGCGCGTAGATGCCAGGCTTCTATATCAGCCATCTCCCAGATCGCTTCCTAGGGTGTTCGTCTTGGTAGTTGTGCAGCCGTTTTCAGCGACATTCAGTATTGGCGTTCAATTTTACTTAGGTTTGTTGCGCTATACCTAGAGAGAAGTTGCACTACTCCGTAGTCCATCAGCGGTAAGATACAGGCCTGTATGATGGCCAGTTTCGTGTCTAATTCGGTCTTCGCATTATATCCTATTATGGGGCCGAGGGCTCCTCTGACTTGTTTTAGTTTTTTGATGACCTTTTCGGTGTGCTGGTTCATTTTCATATGTTTATCGAAAATGACACCGAGATATCTGATCTGTTTTTGATAGCGCAACGTTTGTTGTTTCAGTTTCACTGTAGGTCGGTATTTTTTCTTTTTAGAGAACATGTACATTCTGTTTTCTCTATGTTGCACTTAAGCCCCCATCTCGTGTAGTAGTCAATGATTATTTCAGCCGCCCATTCTGCGCGCATAGTCGCATGATCTGGATTCGAGGCTCTGTTGAGAATACAGAGATCATCCGCGTACTGTGAGAGCTTAAGTCCTCTGATATTGTCTTGTATATCCCAGATGTCATGAACATACATGTTGAAGATTACCGGCCCTAGGATCGAGCCTTGAGGCACGCCGTGAGGTATCGGTTTGTCTCTGGTATTAGTAGTTTTGTCCATGAGCAGGCGGTTATCACTTAACATCAGGTGAACCGCCAGTTCGTTTGCCACTCCTTCACATAAAAAAACCTGCCCATTCGAGCAACGGCGAACACTTGCGTGCCCCTACCACAGCGGCAACACCGTTCGGACAAGTCTCATGAGACGGGGCGATTTGCTCGTTAAATATTCCCCGGTCGTGGACGGTGTTGGTCGGCGCGCGGAACCCGAAAATGGCGGCGTTTCCCGCGCATGCGCCGCGATCGACGGGCGGGCGGCGCGTCCCAGCCCGCAGTCGCTTGTGATGCCGCGCGGATGGGAGGCGCTCGGGGCGAGGCGCGCGTCGCCGACGACTCGGACTTCGAGACCCTGAAGCGGCTCCTCGCCTCCGATGAGGGCTGGAGCCTGGAGTACGAGCGCGACGGCGTCAAGGTCTGGGCGGAGGACGCCGCGCACGGCGCGCTGCGCACCGTTAAGGTGCGTCTGTGTGTGTGTGTGTGTGTGTGTGTCTGTTTTTTTTTTCACGCGCGCCAACGCCAACCGGCCAGCGTCGCGTTTTGACTTTTGAAGCGTATCGCTTTTTTTCCACGCGCGCCAACCGACCTGCGTCGCGTTTTGACATTTTATAACGTATCGCGTTTTGTAATTATTGTTTCTTATCTGTGTTACGTTACGCTTTAAAGCTTATGTTAACGCTATCTATTTGTTCGGTGGGAAAAACATTTTTGGGGCAAGAAAATTTGTAGACTATTCATTTAATTTTACAACAAAAAGCAAGCAAGCTTTAAAAAATTAATTAATAAAGAAGACATCGTGGATCTATTCCATCTGGGAAAAAAAAAATGGATCGGACATCTTGTTAGTTTAAGCCTTTTTTATGTTTTCTATTCTTTGTTAAACGAATTGAAATATCGAACTGGCTTTTACGTGCCAGGCACTATAGCCTAAACACAGGTTTACGAATATTACTATTTTATATAATGTTACTATTATTTACGAATATTTGTAATTATTAATTTAATAATTGAAATTGCTTAGTGAGAGTGCATTTATTACTTTTCTATATTATATTAATCAAGTGCATCTGTGCGTGGCACTTTTGAAGGTTTTATAATTCTCTTTTTCTTTAAAAAAAAACATCGAATCGATACCTCTCCTGTAAGTTCAATATACATTCATACACGTTCAAAGACAAACACCAGATCCTGAAATACTAAGTTCACTTAGCAACGCAACTAACTGCACAGTTACATCACGAGAAGATCACTGCATGTAACAGCTGTTGTCATTTAACACTATTTCATAACGCGAAAAACCTAACATAAGCAAATGTTTCCGCAGCTATTTTTATCGTATCTTATACAAACTTCGTCACATATGGAGATTATTACAAGTACAAAATATACGCGTCTTTACAACAAATTTCAATGTTGTAATTCGGTGAGGGCATTGCTTTTTATAAAATATTTTGACTGATTCACGTATTTCGTTAACAATGTCCAGGTTATAGTTTAACGTCGATTTGGATGCGGCTAGTAAGCATTTGTATACGTCGTCGAGAGGCTAAATCGGTATGCTTTGGTCGAGGTGGGCTTTAATAGCGACTTGGTCATTTGTATGTAGCTTTAATAGAATGTTGTTTAATTCGATGTTTGTTCAGAATTAGTTTGAATAAGTAAAGTAAATTCTAGAATTTTTTTTATGTGAAAACTTGTCAAACCGAGCAGACGGTTCATCTGATGTTAAGTAAATACCACCACCCATGGACGTCCGCTACACCCGAGGGTTCCAGATGCGTTGACAACCTTTGAAAATTGGGCTCTTGACTTTTATTTTTTTCTAGAGATTTGCATAGGTACATCATTTCTTATGTGTGCGAATTAATTTCACAAATATTATTTTTAAATATTAATTTCCCGATATAGGACTGTTAATAAATATATATATATAGGCTATTAATAATGATGCCTTTTTTTATCATCGATTCCTAACTTTAAGGGACACCTCACCACCGCTTTAGTGTCACGCTTAAGACTTAACGTGATACTTAAGCGGTGGTGAAAACGGAAGTAGCACTTAAATTTAGGCGTCGATGGTGAAAATGGGCATAAGGCAGGCTATTAATAGATTTAGACGACTTAGTTAAAACGTTAAGTTAAAGTGTCGTTTTTGTAAACTAGAGAGATGTCACCTTTCCTCCATTCAAATATTCATTGTAAAAATGTCATTTGAGAAAAAGTTTGCTGTAACGGAAGCACGGTGGATAGCGCTAAGCATTGTTAAAATACAATAAAATAAATTATATAAGAGGCGAGATTTTTGCGGAGTGTGCATATCGTCTGCTTAGCTAAGTAGCTAAAGCGTTTGGACGCGTTAGCCGGAAGGTGAAGGATCGCATCTTGGCATCGTAGAGCTGGTCACCAAGATAATGATTAAAAAATAGATTTATTTTGGATTTTTTTTGAACTTCAAATAATAACATTGTTAGAGAAATGTCAATACAAAATATCTTCGAAGATGGCAATTGAGCGCTTTCTAGTAATTTCTAAAGTGACTTAAATGGTTTTGAAAGTTAAATGGATTAGTCAATAGGATTATATCCAAGGGTATTTTAAAACAACCGTTATTCGAGAAGGGATGCGGCCTAATCCTAATTAAGATTTCGGGTCCGTTTTATGGAAGTTGAGATAGAATTGCCAAAAGTACAAATCGCCGTCAACCCTAATCGGATATATTTCGGAGCGTACAGTTATGGCTGGTAGTCAATGATTTTTCATGTTTTCCTAAGGATAATTTCAAGTACCTACGTGTAGAAGTTTATTTATTTTAAATTATCTTATATTATACTAACTCGGCGTGACAAACGCTGTTTTGCCATATAAATTATTTCTAGGGAATTTGTAGGGTAGAAAAAATGTTTGGCGTGGACCACCCTTATCACTTATGGGTATGAAAAATATATTGCTTGTTAAACGAAACCGTAAATACACGTGGGCCAAAAATTAAATATAAATCTGTGTTTGTTGCAACGTTTTACTCTACGTCAAAATGTAAAAGAACTGTGGTTATTGAATTTCCATATTTTCTTGGCGTTTGGATATTTCAGACGCCTAATCGTATAACATAGCTTGTTACAAAGTACATACGAATACTCTTCGTATTTCTCCAACTCGATATTGCTATAGAATCATAAAATAATAATCATTTCCAGAGACACTTTACGGGAGCGTCAGTCAGTGATATATTTAAGAGCACGATTCTTGAAACAGAAGTAAAAGATCCCTTCATAACTGTGAAATATACCGATCGTAAAAATGTTTATTGTCTTGTGTTTCATAGTCATCAACATTTTAGGGTTCCGTACCCAAAGTGTAAAACGGGACCGTACTACTAAGACTCCGCTGTCTGTCTGTCCGTCTGTCACCAGGCTTTATCACATGAACCGTGATATTATAATAAGATAGTCGAAATTATCACAGATGATGTTTTACTGTTGCCGCCATAATAATAACTACTAAAAACAGAATAAAAAAATATTTAAGAACGGCTCTCATATCACAAACATGATTTTTTTGCCGTTTTCATCGATAATGGTACGGAACCCTTGGTGCGCGTCTCCGACTCGTACTTGGCCGGTTTTTTATGGTCATCGGGCGATTGAAAACTGTACAACACTTAATGTTCCTCAACCAGAGCGTTGTTAAACGAATTAAGCGGCGTCGTATTTCGAATTATTGCGAAGTAATGGCGTTAATGCAAAACCGCTGTATTTCTTAGTATTTACTCACTTTAAATCTGCTACTATGTTTGGGTCTACTTATCTATATGTGTAAGTCCTTCAGATTCGAACCTACGACCTCCCAACGAGAGTCCAGGTCCAATAACACTGACTTTTTTTAATTTATTTATTTGCGATATCGCAATTATTTTCGTAAACCATCTAATATTTACTTCTATAGTGTCTGATAGGAGAGACTAATTAGCCGTAAAAGTAAACCCCTGAAGTTGTATTACAAAACGAAATTAGGCTTATTTAAGTAGTAGTGATGGTCGGCTTCGCCAGAAATGCGGCATAAAACACTTCCGCACCATCGATTTTCGCGACCGTTTCAAACGTCTGCCCCATTTTGTCGTTTTCGTTAAAGTCGTAAATATGTCGTATGTAGTGAGGGATTGGTAGACTATTCATTACGTACTCGCTAATGCTCAATGTGTTCCAAACCTTTGCACAATTGTTTTCATCATCTGTACAACCTCCCATCTTAATCGAATGAAAATTACGCGGATGAATATTTATTCGACAAAATTCGCCAGTCATCCGATATCAGCTAAATGGCTGTGTCAGAAACCTTCGTGCAAGTAAATATATAAATATTTATGTATTAGATTATATAAAACTAGCGTACCTGACAGACGTTGTCCTGTACAAACGTCTTACCGACAACAACTTATCAATATAAAACTAAATAAAAAACATTTTATATTGGACCGAATTGTAAATCTAAACCGTTCTCGAATCTACTTGAACACACAAAAAAAATTTCACCGAAATCGGCCCAGCCGTTTGTGTGTTCCGTATGTATACTTAGCCAAACGTCCTTACTATCCTTACTACCCTTACTAATATTATAAACGCAAAAGTTTGTATGTATGAAAGAGTAACAAACATCCATTATTACTCTTTCACGCAAATACTACTGAATGGATTTTAATGAAACGTTACAATAATATAGCTTATACATCGGAATAACATATAGGCTATAATTTATATACATATTTTATATATATCTGTCTTTTTGTCTGAATATTACACCTTCAGACTATTCTAGTCACACGTAGTCGCGGGCAGCAACTAGTTTGTTGTAATGAATATCCAGTGAGTTTTACGCTTGTTAATGAAGGTTTCAAAGTGTTTTAAAAGAAGATGTCCTGTTCGGACATTAACTAGTGCTGGAATGTTTTTCACTCTTTCATTGATCGTCAGTAACCGTTGCTACTAGTGGTATATATAACTTAATTTCTATAATTTTTCTTTGATATATTACCGTTCCGAACATTTAATTTGGTAAAGTTAAACCTGGTTCATCTCATAGTAGTAAAGTTACGAATCTATTGCGGTAGCTCACAGTATTCTGTGGCCCATTGGCCCAAAGTACAGATGATTTAGGAGTGTGTAACTCATCCTCCGCACGTTATCCGTTAATATATGTTGATTCATATAATAGCAACAAGTCAATCTTTTTATTAACGAAAAACAAAACCCACTTCAAATACCTCGCTATGTATTCATTTTATAATTGATTTTCAAAAGTTCTCTACATATCTCCGGAGCCCAAGACCCAATAGCAATGAAATTAATATGGGACCACATGGGAAACACCAGCTTTCAAATAAAATAGAACCATCAAAATCGATCGCTCAGTCGAAAGTTCTGAGGTAACACATAAAAAAATACATTCGAATTGAGAACTTCGTCC